GCAGGCTGAAAGCTGGTTTCTGGGGTTTTGTTTAGCTTCTTATTTGCAACATAGTACATTGTTGCTTAGAGTTGCAACTCAGAGGCCGGCAAGTCAGGCGGGGAACGTTGGAGTCTGCAGTCACTGAAGCAAGGAAGCCTCATGTTCGCTTCCAGCTGCCTGGCTGCTGGCCGCCATCTTGGCTGACAGTTAATTTGCATAAGGATATGCTGATTAGCCAATGGGAAGGGTAGCGGTCGTACGCCAATTACCATGTTTCTCTTTTATTAGTGTAGATTGCCTCAGAGTAGATTAGTAGCAGCCCTTTCCATCTGAGTCCTATGTCAGGTTATGTTTACATCATTCTTTGAACCCACCTAGTTTCTTTAGTGAAGAAAGGAACAAATCATCCTTTTAAAAAAGTCTTCTTAAAACAATTCTATTGTTTGTATGGGTCCAGTGTTCAGGCTTTTAATAATCGATCTCTGTCTGTTATGATTCCATTCAGCCAATGGCATGATTCCATTCAGCCAATGGCATTAGTCCACTGGTCCTTTTTTTAACTTTTTGTTCTTGTTTATTTATTCATTTTTATTGAATTTATTGAGATGACATTGGTTAATAAAATTATACACGTTCCAGATATACAATTCTACAATGCATCATCTGTATACTATATTGTGGGTTTACCACCCCAAGTCAAGTCTCCTTCCATCACCATTTATCCCCTCTTTACCTTCTTCTACCTCCCCTCAGTCCACTGGTCTTAATTAATAATTGCTTCCTATTGAAGAGTAATGTCATAAGACAGGAAAGTCTTCCTAAATATGATACATTAGACAGAAAGATTAAGGACATGAATAAAAGTTAAAACACAAGGTTTTAAAGCTTCTGTATTAAAAATAATTACCTTAAACACAAAGTTAAAAACCATCTAAGAAAAAACCACTTTCAGTATTTGACAGACAAAAAGATAATACTTTTAATATATATTGATTTAACTCTGTTAAATCAATAAGATATAAAGAGCAATAGAAAATGGGCAAATATATATATTGAGATAATTCATAAGAGAATAAACATGTCTCAGCCTCATGAGCAAAGCAGTACCAATTACATCAATTGACATTATCTAAGAGAAAATTTGTGACCCATAACATTGGCAGAGATTCCATCTAATGCCATTTCATTTTTTCAAGGCACTTATTTTTATGGAATTGTAAATTAGAATAGCTTTACTATGGGACAATTGGATGATATAAATTAAAAGTTTTGATTGGTTTTGGTTTTATGGTATTAGGTAGGGGAAGTGTTTCCAAGTCAGATATAATATCTATTCCCATAAAGCATTCAGATAAGGGAGACACAACCTCTTCATATAAGGCCTGTCATTCAAACCTTTACCTTAATCTTATTACCAGTAACAGGATTATTGTTATTATTATCGATAATCTTACACATTTCTATATTCACTCAGTTTTTTAATTGTAGCCCATTTTAGGGCTTTACCAACAGATGTTGGTACCACAATGCATGAGGCTCCTGTGTCAAGGAACCTCAGAAAGTTCTCTTCATTCCCTGACCATTTTACCCACTCCTGAGCATTAGGTTTTAGGTTCCCAGCCACAGAACCCTGGCACTTTTGTCAGTCTTTATCTTGATTAATTTGACTGACTATTGGCTTAGAAGATTCCAGGTCAGGGTTTTCACTATATTCTTTATTTTTCCAGTTTTTAAAATTCCTGTAAACCAGGGAAATAGAGCAGGACTTGTTTGGGCATTTTAATGTTGGGGGGCCAGCAGGAGGTCCATTTGTTCTACCTAAACTTTGGTAGTACTGTATTGGGTAATACTAGTAGGACCTTCTTTAATCCCATCAATATTCGTTTTATTCATCATAAGTGGAGGAACATGTATAGTCTGATATTTTGCTGTCTTTCAATCATTTAAAAACTATATCTTTGCATACCGTGTGTGGATAATTGTCAAGCCCTGGTCTTCCCACACTCCTTATCACTTATATCAAGTGCTCCAACACAGTATGGTTATACCTGTCATTAAGCTGTCGGAACAATGTTTAAAAATCTATCTATTCTTTAAATTAACCCGAGTGCTTAATTTTCTAAAAGCAAGCACTCAGAGAAACCCAACTCCTCTCCCGCTCCCCACCCCCCATCCCACCTCACGGATGAATAATCGCTGGAGAGTTCTAGAAGAGACAATCCCTGATACTTGTATTGGTATTCAGTAGTTTCATTGGTAAAGGGCAGCATCCTGCAGTTTGAAAGCCATAAACACGGCATATCCATTGTGATATTACAATGCCACTAAGCCATGCTTCCATTCGATCAGCAGTGATCATTTTTGATAGTTTTGCATTTTTATGCCATGGGTTCCTCAGGAGCAGCTGGCCACCAAAACACATTCTGTACCCTCCCCAGAGATGCCCAACACCTAGTGGCCTCAGGAAAGCCAGGGAAGGACCCCAGCACAAAGCCGGGGGAAGAGAGAGGGGCTGGTCCCACCAGCCACCGTCGCCTTGCTGAGCCCTCGCCAACAGAGGGCGCCCGCGCCTCCCCAGCCCG